AATCAAGATTCAAGAATCAAGATTCAAGAATCAAGATTCAAGAATCAAGATTCAAGAATCAAGATTCAAGAATCAAGATTCAAGAATCAAGATTCAAGAATCAAGATTCAAGAATCAAGATTCAAGAATCAAGATTCAAGAATCAAGATTCAAGAATCAAGATTCAAGAATCAAGATTCAAGAATCAAGATTCAAGAATCAAGATTCAAGAATCAAGATTCAAGAATCAAGATTCAAGAATCAAGATTCAAGAATCAAGATTCAAGAATCAAGATTCAAGAATCAAGATTCAAGAATCAAGATTCAAGAATCAAGATTCAAGAATCAAGATTCAAGAATCAAGATTCAAGAATCAAGATTCAAGAATCAAGATTCAAGAATCAAGATTCAAGAATCAAGATTCAAGAATTAAGATTCAAGAATCAAGATTCAAGAATCAAGATTCAAGAATCAAGATTCAAGAATCAAGATTCAAGAATCAAGATTCAAGAATCAAGATTCAAGAATCAAGATTCAAGAATCAAGATTCAAGAATCAAGATTCAAGAATCAAGATTCAAGAATCAAGATTCAAGAATCAAGATTCAAGAATCAAGATTCAAGAATCAAGATTCAAGAATCAAGATTCAAGAATCAAGATTCAAGAATCAAGATTCAAGAATCAAGATTCAAGAATCAAGATTCAAGAATCAAGATTAAAGAATCAAGATTCAAGAATCAAGATTCAAGAATCAAGATTCAAGAATCAAGATTCAAGAATCAAGATTCAAGAATCAAGATTCAAGAATCAAGATTCAAGAATCAAGATTCAAGAATCAAGATTCAAGAATCAAGATTCAAGAATCAAGATTCAAGAATCAAGATTCAAGAATCAAGATTCAAGAATCAAGATTCAAGAATCATTATTCAAGAATCAAGATTCAAGAATCAAGATTCAAGAATCAAGATTCAAGAATCAAGATTCAAGAATCAAGATTCAAGAATCAAGATTCAAGAATCAAGATTCAAGAATCAAGATTCAAGAATCAAGATTCAAGAATCAAGATTCAAGAATCAAGATTCAAGAATCAAGATTCAAGAATCAAGATTCAAGAATCAAGATTCAAGAATCAAGATTCAAGAATCAAGATTCAAGAATCAAGATTCAAGAATCAAGATTCAAGAATCAAGATTCAAGAATCAAGATTCAAGAATCAAGATTCAAGAATCAAGATTCAAGAATCAAGATTCAAGAATCAAGATTCAAGAATCAAGATTCAAGAATCAAGATTCAAGAATCAAGATTCAAGAATCAAGATTCAAGAATCAAGATTCAAGAATCAAGATTCAAGAATCAAGATTCAAGAATCAAGATTCAAGAATCAAGATTCAAGAATCAAGATTCAAGAATCAAGATTCAAGAATCATTATTCAAGAATCAAGATTCAAGAATCAAGATTCAAGAATCAAGATTCAAGAATCAAGATTCAAGAATCAAGATTCAAGAATCAAGATTCAAGAATCAAGATTCAAGAATCAAGATTCAAGAATCAAGATTCAAGAATCAAGATTCAAGAATCAAGATTCAAGAATCAAGATTCAAGAATCAAGATTCAAGAATCAAGATTCAAGAATCAAGATTCAAGAATCAAGATTCAAGAATCAAGATTCAAGAATCAAGATTCAAGAATCAAGATTCAAGAATCAAGATTCAAGAATCAAGATTCAAGAATCAAGATTCAAGAATCAAGATTCAAGAATCAAGATTCAAGAATCAAGATTCAAGAATCAAGATTCAAGAATCAAGATTCAAGAATCAAGATTCAAGAATCAAGATTCAAGAATCAAGATTCAAGAATCATTATTCAAGAATCAAGATTCAAGAATCAAGATTCAAGAATCAAGATTCAAGAATCAAGATTCAAGAATCAAGATTCAAGAATCAAGATTCAAGAATCAAGATTCAAGAATCAAGATTCAAGAATCAAGATTCAAGAATCAAGATTCAAGAATCAAGATTCAAGAATCAAGATTCAAGAATCAAGATTCAAGAATCAAGATTCAAGAATCAAGATTCAAGAATCAAGATTCAAGAATCAAGATTCAAGAATCAAGATTCAAGAATCAAGATTCAAGAATCAAGATTCAAGAATCAAGATTCAAGAATCAAGATTCAAGAATCAAGATTCAAGAATCAAGATTCAAGAATCAAGATTCAAGAATCAAGATTCAAGAATCAAGATTCAAGAATCAAGATTCAAGAATCAAGATTCAAGAATCAAGATTCAAGAATCAAGATTCAAGAATCAAGATTCAAGAATCAAGATTCAAGAATCAAGATTCAAGAATCAAGATTCAAGAATCAAGATTCAAGAATCATTATTCAAGAATCAAGATTCAAGAATCAAGATTCAAGAATCAAGATTCAAGAATCAAGATTCAAGAATCAAGATTCAAGAATCAAGATTCAAGAATCAAGATTCAAGAATCAAGATTCAAGAATCAAGATTCAAGAATCAAGATTCAAGAATCAAGATTCAAGAATCAAGATTCAAGAATCAAGATTCAAGAATCAAGATTCAAGAATCAAGATTCAAGAATCAAGATTCAAGAATCAAGATTCAAGAATCAAGATTCAAGAATCAAGATTCAAGACACAGACACAGACACAGAAAAAAATCTGAATTTTAACTATCGCGTAAAATCTCCCTACGTTTAATTTTGAGCTATACTTAGAATAAACAGCAAAATCGTTTGCAAGCTTGCATACAATATTGCTAATTTATGCGATATTGCGCTTAAATTTACATAAAATAATCACGTAAATTTATGCCAAATCTAGCGTTAATTTTATGTGCGCGATACCTCGCAGAAATTTACATGAATTTTTCAAACGGTGTAGGAATTGTTCGGGTTGGAAAATTTCTCAACTTTCATGGTCATAGCGTAGATTGTACTTGCCACTCAATTTTATTAATGAAAATTTGGTACAGTCATTGATGGCTCTCAATTAATAGCTGAGCACTATAAGCAATATGCTTGAAATGCAAGGTAGAAGAAGAAAAAAAAGGGATCTTAATACTCAAGTGTCATAAAGCATAAATACATTATTATTAGAAATAACTAGAGAGGGTCTAGTATAAGAGAGGAGTGAACTGACTGGTTTTTGAGCCAAACGGACGGTCAATGCCAGAGCCAATCGAGCAGCGCTTATCTTGATTGCATTGGCAGTGTTGCTAGAAATCACCTAGGCATAGGCTGCCAAGGCAGTTTGTTTTGAATCCGCTCCTGTCTTGTATTAGACCCTCTCTAAAAAGAACTGTGCTTGTTTCTAAGAGGCCATTTGATCCTTTATCCCTCTTTGAACCATTTGATCATTCGAACATTTGTCAAAGTAACATCTTAGTCAGATGTGTTCCTTTAATTACTGAAAAATCCGGTTCCCCTAGTTTGGTGTAGTCAAGAGTAGGAATCGATCATAGATCTTACATTCTGTAACGTACCACGGATAGGTGATCCACCCACGTTACGGAGCTATTCGACTTGCTGTAGCTCTTTAAATCATTCGACCTTTTGTCCATTCGACTTTTAGTCTTTTTGAATTGTTGTTTTTCTTTGGGCCAGTCGACCTTCTGTACCTCTTTGGGCTCTTCTGTCCATATTGAATCATTTGACCCATTTTGACCCATTAGACAAGTTGCCCATTCAACCTTGTAGCCCCTTATAGACATTTTGTCCATTCGAGCTTCACATCATTCGACTTTTTTCACTGCGTGGTACATCGTTATACGAAATAGGCCTGTTCGAAATTAAAAAAACTTTGCGAGAGGTAATTGAAAAACTTATGTACACTCAATCCAAGAGCCAATCAAACTTCTAAACAAACACAAGTTTCAGAAAATCGACATTTTCTCCAAAGTTAAGCTATTACGGAATCTGACATTTCAAATTCCCTTATGCAATAAATTGTTAAAACAAAACCATTGCATCTTACGCAAAACTAATTCAACTGACGTTCCCTCTGAAATCCGAAAGTTTATTCATTCCAGTATCCCAATTCTGCCAACATGTTCCCCAATCAAAGCAGCTATCGACAGTCCGTGTTGCTTTTAGCAGTAATTCCAGACGAGCAAAGCTCCAGAAACTCACTCATCAAAACAAAAGCGAACAGCAGCAAACTCAATGAGCCCAATCCAACGGAACGGCATAGAGTAGACAGACAAGCATCGATGCCGCTGCTGCCGTTGACTCCACTCGGTGGTTCAAGCAAACTCGCAAACCTAATATAGATATGCAAATTTCCAGAATTTAAATTTTTGAATTTTAAATTCCAGTTATATAACTTGCTCGTCGGTGGCGCTGGTGGTGGAAGAAGACAGCGCGTTGTAAACATATCAACATATCAAACTGAACCTGAACGATGAGGACGACGACGACGACGACGGCAATGATGGTTTTCGTTTTTGGGAACCTTGCGAAGCGTGATCCTCACGCAGGATGACAGATGACTTGTATCAGAGCTTGATGACTTATTTCCAGATTACTCTTTATTTTTTATCAAAATGACGTCGACGAAGACGACGACAACGTCGTCGTCGTTGTCGCTTTGTGTATGCATAATATCGATGATTAATCTTCGGAACGAGCTTTCGGGGCCAGATGTGGAGGAAGCACCGAGTTGGCGTGTGTGACAGCAGCCGGTTTAATTAAATTTGCAAACCGTGAATCTTTTTCCCAACATCAACAACAACAGCCCCAACGAGGGAAAATGTGGAAGATTGGAAAGATTCAATTTCAAGGTTCTCAACGATGCGCAGTTGATGTCTACAAAGTATCAACTCACGCGCTCTTGGAAGGAAATGAGACAAACTTGTACCGGGCGGCGTCTTAAAATTTAATGTACTCCTTTCGGTGCGCCCCAGTGCAGTGTGCTAAACAACTCGCCAGTCAAAGTCGCAAACGAGTCCCCGGTAACGACGACACGAATCTCCAATGCAACGAAACTCTATTAAAATTCCTTACCTTTTATATCTCGCGTAGAAGATCTCCGGTTTTCCTGCTGCCTTGCACTGCGACGCGGACGGACGCCCGGCCTCTCTCTCTTTCGCACTCACTTCCTCTTCCTCTTTCGTTCCACTCTCGGAACGATGGTGATGCAGTTGCTGGATGCTGCTAAGCTTGCATCATCCTCTGGCACTGACACTGACTGTACTGACGACACTGGTGATGGCACTGCTCGGGATGCTGCTGCTGGGATCGGTTCGCGGTGGTCGGGTTCAAGGTGTGCTTGTATTCCATTATGTTACAATTAGTCGTCACCTGAAAAAGGCAATGCAAGCAGCGCGAAAGAGAGGCTAAGGTTAATGCAAGCGAAATGGAAATCGGAAAATGCGAGGTGCAAGAAATCCACTCTGCTGCTGCTGCTGCCGCCATACAACAACGACGCGCGGGGGGAAAAAATTGCCCTATCGGGTTCGCGGGATCATCGCCAGGCCCAAGATGTCTCTGCGCGTTTTGTAACATATTGGTGGGGCGATGGGGGAAGCGGGCTTGGAATAAATGTATTATTTAAGCATAAATTTATCGATTCACCGAACAAGGTGTTTTTTCCCGGCACCTCGTTGGGATCTGTCTCCTGCTGGTGTTGCTGCCGATGGCTGCTGCACTGAAGGAATGCAGAGAGAAATGGCAAGAATAATTCACCGTAAAGTGTTTTACAGGAATATATCAAGCTCTAGGCTGGGAAATTGAGCCATAGGCGATGCTAGGGTATTGATGTGGGTAAATATGGGACCTCCCTTAGCACAGGAACATTTTTCGACTTCCCTGGACATAGAAGTATGACTGGGCTTGGCACATAATTATACCAATGCAAAAATGGTACAGGCATCGAAAGCTCTCAATTAATAACTGTGGAAGTGCATCTAGAACACTAAGTTGAGAGCACGCAATAAGCTAATATGCGATATGCAATAAGCTTGAAATGCGAGGAAGAAGAAGAAATATGAGGATATCCTTGTGTGTCGATTACATGGAGCGCCTTATGCATCATCTACTGCAACTACAAACAAACTAACAAACTTTCCCGGCTTAGTGCCAAGAAGGAAAAGATTCCCCCTATTGTGATAACCACCTCCGATTTCCATGCTCATCGCATGGAACTTCTGAACTTCGTGAAAGTTAAGTTTTAACTACAAATTGGACGTCGAGGTGAATGCCGTGTATTGGCTGAAACCTTGAACGGCTTTAAATGTCTTCTTAAGTATCTTACTGAGAAGCAGCACAAATTGTTTACTTACGACACCAAAACTGAACGTGTGTTCAAGGTTGTCATGAAAGGACTGCCCAGTTGTGAATCCCTGGATCAGATTAAAGATGAACTGGCAGAATTACTTGGGGTCGTGCCACTCCAAGTAATCGAAATGAAAATGAAATCCCGTCCTGGCGATTCGCGCAACGGGATTTCTAATGATTTTTATTTAGTTCACTTCAAGTCTAGTGAACTAAACAACCTTAAGGCCTAAGAAAAAGCTAGCCTTATGCTCCATGTCCGAGTGAAGTGGGAACACTTCAGGAAGACTGGAGGAAATTTCCAAAACCTCACTTAGTGCCGTAGTGCCAGGGATGGGGTCACGGAACTAAAAATTGCTACATGCCAGCTTAATGCATGAATTGTGGTGATTCCTCTCACGCAAAGGACGACTGTCCTGTGAAGAAAGATCCTAAGAAATTTAAATGTTTAAATTGTGGTGAAAACCACAAATCCAATTTTTGGGAATGTAAGACTCACAAAGCGATCCTACAATGTCGTTCTAAGCGACAGGTAGGAAACGCTCCACGTTTCCGACCAGGTACAAATTTCTCTGCTGTTAACAGCGGTCAGCGAGGAACAAATTCTACATTCGTACCCGTGGGTACAAATATCACCCCTGCTTCAAATTCTTCATCTATACCTACTCCCCTCACTGCTAACAATGTTCAACGAGTTAATGGAGCTACCTATGCTGCTATTGCAGCGGGTCGAAATCAAAATACTAACCAACGTAATTCTAACGGAAATTTTGACAATTTTGACTTAGGAAGCATTACTGCCCCTAAAATGGAATTTTACAGAAATCATTAATTGACATGATTTCTGATTTGCTTAAATCTAACTCCATGTTTGATGCTATTCAAACTGGAGTAAAATTTGCAAACAATATTATCATGACAGTTTGGATGTCGCCATGGGCATTCAACTACTCATCAACTCTTAAGAGTTACCAATTTAATTCGTTCAAACAAATATGAAGGCCACTCAACTGGAGTTGCTCTTCTAGACATAGAAAAAGCGTTCGACAGTGTTTGGCATGAATGTTTGATTGCTAAATTGAAAATGTTAAAAACAAATGAAAATGTGTAAAAGATAGCAGAACAGATTATAAAAACAACTTCAAAGAAACGGTCAAATTAAAATTTTCAGAACACAATTTGTTAAACATAAGGTACACGTCCCATACAGACACCACAAACAGGATCGGATCATAGAAGGGGGAAACAAATGGAAAGTATGACGGATGGAAACAGGGAGTATGGTCAAATAGGAGAAAATCGAGGTTACTACTGGGTCAGATCGAATGGGCGAGTTCTTTTCCACTTCAGCTCTTCTCGAAGGAGGTTTGGAGCATAGTTCCCAGATAAAAGTCGAAGTGTTTAAACAAGTAATAATTCTAGTCTGGAACGCGTTAATCAAAAGAATCAGGACCCATTGTTCTTAGTTTAAGTCTCCGCTGTTCAGCGTCGAGCCACCGAACGCTTTCTAGGCCGTCGGAGCGGTTAACCCCCCCAGCGAGCGTGAAGTTCTTCGCGATCACTGGCGATCAACCAAACGCTGTCTAGACCGTCGGAGCGGTCAACCAAGCGAGCGTCGGGAGACACGAGATCGCGATTTTGGTAGTTGGAAAACGGCAGCTGGTGATATGCAGTGACCAGCAGGAGGTTCGGTGCGGTCATTCCATACCCTTCAGTATTCTGAACGACGAAGCCAGTAGCAGATCATCCGCCGGGTCATCCGCCCAGCGATCCACGGTCCAGCACGCCGGCCGGCCATTCACACACCCACACACAAACACACCTTATTATTCGTAAGTAACATAATAACCTAAATAAAAAGTGCCTAAAAGAAGACCGAGTAGAAGGTTATTTGTGCCCTGATCAGCCTCACCATCCCACCCTTGGTCGAGATACGACCTGGGGAAAAGTCGTGAGCTAAACCAACAAAAGAGGCTGGTGGAAAGCCCACCCTGTTGGCCGCGTGGCTCTAGAACAGGGACCTTGGGCATTGCCATAATAGAGAGCTCTGCTCCCACAGAAGTAACAATAGTTGTAGAGGAAATCTAGGGCATAGGGGAAATGTATGTAATGTCGACCTAAATGCCCTTAATTTGGGCCCATACATAAATTCAGCAAACGACTAAAATTTCAATAGCGACCAAAAATATCCTTTAGTACCGTCACAATGACGCGTTCATCTAGATAAAATTGATAAATATTAGATTTTTAGCGATGGGCCCAATCTTAGATCCATAGGCCAACATTAAGGCCAATTCCCCTAAGGCAAATTGATTTTAACTAGATTTTAGATTTAGATTTCAGCCGTGGGCTTGTTGTTCTGTGCAGGATGTTAACAAGAAAGTTCAAAGAATTTTGAGATGAATCGCATGAAAATTGAAGGGAGAAGTCCCATCAGAAGTAAAGGTGAGTTTTAAGGTTGTTGTGATGAGACAATCATGGGGATTATGATTTTAATTCTAGTATACTAGCTTGTCAAAGAGACGAGCTCTAAGAAAGTGTGGAGCCTCTTTTCTTAAAGAACATTAATTATACGACAAACATGACTACAATGCTTCAATCCTGAAACTACGCTGATTATAATATACAGCTATTCCGCAGTAATACGATATAGTAGTTCTCAGAATTTCGTAAAAATTGGTAGGGCTTTTGATCTGATTTCCGTCCTACTAACCACATCTCTCTTCCGTCCTACTAACCACATTTTATCTCTATCTTTTGAACGGGTCTGAACAAAAAATAGAATAATTCTGTGAAGGATGGCTTCTAAATTTATTCGCCTTTCCATACGTACCGTTGGATTTGATAAAGAGTCACAAATTGTTGAGATATTGTTAAAAATTGATTTTTGATTCTAAATTCGTCCTACGAGTTTCAATTCCGTCCAAACGCATTGACACGCCATTATATTTTCTTCGTCCTACGGATAAACGTAGGAAAGGGGGATTCGCTAGGAGCGCTTCTTTTGTTTTGAGAACAAAACTGAACGTTCAGCTGTTGAGATTTCGGTAAAATTTCACAGATTTCGGTAAAATAATCTGAGGGTGTAAGTTATAATTTTATGAAATTATAATTTTTTGGGTTTTCGCTCAACTCGCTAGACTACCATGCGTCGTGAACATGTAACAATTCAATGCAGAATATGAATAACCGGAATAACAGGTGGGTTAAACATGTTTTTACAACAAAATTGGTTGCCAAGGCTCCAATAGGAGTTGCCAAATGCAATGGATTGTTTCAATAAAGATGTTCCACCTGTCAACACAACCATATACAGGGTGTTCGGTTTTTTAGTGCAAATAATTTAAGGTGCGATAGAAGATCATATTTTAAGTAAAAAATTGTTCTACGCATATGATCAAATCTCAAAGATTACTGAGTTATTGAACTTTTTCTGTTTTGGTCTATGCTTGCCATAAATTGGCTCTAACTCAAAACAAACAACTCAGACAAAACAATACACTTAATTGCGTATTTGTTTATTTCTTTTATCCCTAAAATGCGTCTTTATGCAGTTTACTTAGAGTAGAAATGAGACTATTAAGTAGGAAACTTACCAAGCTGTCCAATGGAGGCAAGAGTGTGGTGCTAAATTGCATAGTTTTTGAGTTAGAGCCAATTTATGGCAAGCATAGACCAAAACAGAAAAGTTCAATAACTCAGTAATCTTTGAGATTTGATCATATGCGTATAACAATTTTTTACTTCAAATATGATCTTCTATCGCCCCTTAAAGCATGGTAAAAGAAACCGATGAAAAAAAAAAAGCATGAAAAGGACCGATGGGTTGAAAGCTTGGAATCCAATCCAGGAATTGGAGATGACAGCGGTGCTCATATCTTGCACCTGGATCGATTGGTAAACAGTCAATCGGTGATAATTTTAATTATCATAGCGACAGTTGCACATTCGTGCAATTGTCAATAGAGACCTTTTGAAGATTGATAGTCTTAATTTTAGCAGATTGGTAGAAAAATATCCTATCGATA